TGACTTCCATTTAAACGTTTTTTAATCTCGCAGGCATCACAGTATGAAATGAGCGTTCTGTAATGTCAGCATTGCATTTTGAAGAGCGGTAACGAACTGGCATTTCCTGAAGTTAACTGAATGTTTGGTGGTTCTGAACAAATTTGTAGTTGTTAAAAACATTGTAGTTTTTTTTGTAAAAGACAGTAGGTTTAAAAAATTACAAAAAGAAATAAAATAAGCAAAAAATCATGTCACAACCTGTACCACAGCCAAAATAATAACTAAATAAAATATAATGTTGAGAAAAATGTACAGAAATAACTGAGGAAGGCACAGGAGTTAAGAGTTATTAGAACTAGGAAGACATGAACAATACTTCCACCGTTTTAACAAACACTTTGTTCATTTTAAAAATATGGAGCAAAGAGATGTTTTTTTTAATTACAAGATGCTTTATGAATTATTCTGAGCTTTTTTTTACTTCAGTTATTTGATCTAGAGTAGTTTTATTTACCACAACTTGCAACACAAAAAATACAATATATGGCAACACAGGAGAGCAGTGCACATGCACACATTTTACATGCAATACATTCTCTAATTCAATACAAAATACCAACAGATTTAGATTTTATTCTTAACGCAGTATGTGCTCTTCATTTTCACAAACATGAAACTAGTTTTGACCAAAATTTATTCTTTTTTTTTTGTGTTTAATTCTTTCATATTTACCTCTGAGCTAAACAAGTTAGCTGCAATCACTATAGTTTTTAAACTTGGTTATCAATTGTGGATAACAATACTGAGCCCTGTGGAACACCACAGGTTGGTATTCTTAACTACAAGTCTGTATTACTGACTGTCACATGTCTTATTGTCCAAATAACATTTGAACGTGATTTTGTCCACCGTCTTTCTGAGCACAAGAAAAGACTAAAGAATGTTTTCTTGTTTCTCGTTTCCTCACACAAACCTCAGTTTGTTTCAGAAACAGTTTGAAAGCCCTCCGGTGCAGCAGCTGCTCTGAAGACATTAGTTTACAAAACCTGGCTTTCCTTAAGTGTGAAGTTTGTCCTTACTTGAGACTTGTCCAGATTCTCTGTGGCTGAAATCATAAAGTGTAGTTTAATAGTTGTTGATGTCTTCTGCAGGCAAACACAACTCCTCCCAAACTGAGTTCTTCTGAGACAAAAGGCAGAGGAGCACTTCTGTCAGATATCTGCAAAGGAACAAGACTAAAGAAGGTCACGGAGATTAATGACCGGAGCACCCCCATACTAGAGAGTGAGTGCAACAAGTGTGTTTTATGCACACACACATGTACACACACTTGTTTCTCACTCCATTTCTGTCTGCTTGTTCAACATCCATTTAAATTAAACGTCAACACATCACCCACTCCCTTTCATGTGAGTTTTAAGCTGAAATCATCTTGTTGAGGGGACAGAGCTGCAGCCGTACTGGTCAAATATTGTGTGATCTTACAGGATGTGGTGACGCTCAGAGAAGGTGTTGAGGATGACTCCCGGCTACTACCACACCAAACTTGAGCTCAGTGTCTGTAAATCTGACTGATTTATAGCCATTTCTGTGTTTACTGTCCTTTTGAATTAGTCTGACTCCAACTTCATCAATTTTAAATGGACACAATGACACTTTCCTTATAGCTTCATTGAAACATCCAGTGATTCATGAAATATTTTGCTAACAGACACATACACAGGAGGAGAAAATGCGTTCTTGCCCTTTCTTGTTTGACAGCAGATGATGACGATGCTGCCAAGCTTCTGTTTCACGTCTGTCATTTTGTTAAATGTGTGGGACATAGAGGTTTTAAAAAGTAAGAAAAGCCTTGTTGACCAGCGTGTTACTGATGATGGTGTTGCCTTTGTACTGATTCTAGGTTTAATGATGCTGCACATATTCTTCTGTCCGTGATGCTCGAGTACAAAGACTTGAGGCGAAACTAAATAGTTTTACTTGTTTAAGGTCTCTTTATACGGACGTGTCCTGAATAATGTGGTCACAAGTTGACTGTTAAAACATGTGATCTCACTGTTTGTGAACTCTTTATAATTTTATACATTTCTGCATCAATATGACCAAAAACATCATCTGATTTTCACACAAGTCCTAAAAGTAGATAAAGAAAACTCAGTTCAACAAATGAGACAAAAATATTATACTTGGTCATTTATTTATTGAGGAAAATGATCCAATGTTACATATTTGTGAGAGGAAAAACTTTGTGAACCTTTACTTTCAGTATCTGGTGTGCCCCCCCCCCCCCCCCCCCCCCCCCGGAACAATAACTGTAATTAAACATTTCCAGTAACTGATGATCAGTCCTGCTCACCTTGGAGGAACTTTAGTCCATTCCTCCGTACAGAACAGCTTCATCTCTGGATGTTGGTGGTTTCCTCACATTAACAGCTGCTTCAGGTCCTTCCACAACATCTGGATTGGATTAACATCAGGACTTTGACTTGATAATTCCAAAACATGGACTTTATTCTTCTTGAACATTCTTTGGTAGAACCACTTGTGTGTTGAGGGTCATTGTGTTGCTGCATGAGACACCTTCTCTTAGATTCACTTCATGGACAGATGTTCTGACATTTTTCTTTAGAGTTCTCCGATATAATTCAGAATCCATTGTTCCATCAATGATGGCAAGCTGTCCTGATCCAGATGCAGCAAAACAAGCCCAAACCATGATACCACCACCACCATGTTTCACAGATGGGATCAGGTTCTTCTGCAGGAATGCAGAGTTTTACGTTCTCCAAATATAACTCATATCATTTAACCCATAAAGTTTTATTTTAGTCTCATCCGTCCACAAAACATTCTTCCAACAGTCTTCTGGTTTGTCCACGTGATCTTTAACAAACTGCAGACGAGCAGCCATGTTCTTTTTGGAGAGCAGAGGTTTCTCCTTCAACCTGCCATGAACCATTGTTCTCCAGAGTTCTCCTGTTGGTGGACTCATGAACATCAACATCAGTCAATGTGAGAGACCTTCAGTTGTTAGAAGTTGCCCTGGACTCCTTTGTGACCTCACCTTGTTCTTGGAGTGATCTTTGTTGGTCCACCACTCCTGGGGAGATAACAATGGTCTTGAACTTCCTCCACCAGTCCACAGTCTGTCTGACTGTGGACTGGTGGAGTCCAAACTCTTCAGATATGTTGTGTAACCTTTTCCAGCCTGATGAGCATCAACAACTCTTTTTCTGAGCTCCTCAGAAATCTCCTTTGTTCCTGTCATGATCCACTTCCACCAACATGTTGTGAAGATCAGACTTTGATAGATCCTGTTCTTTAAATCAGACAGGGTGTCCACTCACACCTGATCATCATCCACTGATTGAAAACACCTGACTCTAATTTCACCTTCAGATTAACTGATAATCCTGGAGGTTCACAAACTTCTACCATCACAGATATGTAATATTGGATCATTTTCATCAATAAATAAATAAGTATAATATTTTTGTCTCATTTGTTTAACTGAGTTCTCTTTATCTACTTTTAGGACTTGAGTGAAAATCTGATGATGTTTTAGGTCATATTGATGCAGAAATGTATAAAATTATAGTTAAACTTTCAATCATCACTGTATACAACCCCACACACACACACACACACTCACACACACACACACACATTCAAAGTGACCTCATGGTATCTGTCAGAAACAAACATGCAGCTTGTCACTTCACAACATCCACTTTCATCAGAGCAACAAACAGGACACCAACTTGCTGCTCATCTTTTTTGTGTCACAAATCCTCTCCGATCTAAACTCTAAGTATTCAAACAGGAATGTGTTGGATTCAAATGAATGAAAGTTATTGTAGATTTTTTTACAGTTGGCTCTAGGGATGCACCGATCCACTTTTTTCACTTCCGACTCGATACCGATACCTGCGGTTTGGTATCAGCCGATACTGATCTGATGAATTGATTGATTGATTGATGAATCTGATGAAACAAAAATTAACTTAAAACGTTTGTTTTATGTACTGGATTACAAATTTATTGAAAACTGCACCAGAGCAGCACACTTAAACACACCAAGAGCTTCACAAGCTCGGTCAAACGTGGAAAAACAACACAACTTTCATTTATCTGTACCGATACTGATATTGATATTGGATTGGTGCATCTCTAGTTGGCTCAGGTATGTAATTAATACAAAACACAAGAAGAGTTCTGTACATTAATGAAGCATTTGTCTGGTCCTGTTAAGAACGCTGACCCTTTCCAAACCACGTCCACCTGGTCATACTGGTACTTCTGCAGCACGTCTTGGTGTAAGACGAGTGGTTTCCTCATGGTCACCAACATGTAGACTGAGGAAGTGGTATCAAACCATCCAGACTCTGAAGCATTACTTTGTTCTACAACCACTCATTTTAAGTAAAGTCACTTTTGATGTTGTAGACAACTAATAGGGGCTGAATACTTCAGTTCTGAATACCAAAAACATGTTTTGCTTTAAATATTTAACTCAAGCCCAATAAAGTGCAACACATTGGACCAATGGGACACGTCCAGAGCTGTTATCTGCAGCTGTGTTCACTTTAGCTACTATAAAAAACAAGCAGGAGCTGTCCTGTGAATGCGTTTTATAGATGTTCTTCTACAAGAGTCCCAGCCATCGATTACTTGTGGCCTGTTGTCAGGTGACATGGCAGCTCTGGTCAAAGATGGCACAGTCTTCTTGACATGATTGTCTGGGCTTTCCCAAGTTGTTTGAAGGCATCTTCGTGTATGTAAACTTGTGACTGAAGAGAGAGAGAAAAATGTTGTTTGGCAACTAGAAATATTTTTGGGAAACTTGACACCTGAACAGGAAAGGTTTTATCTGATTTACTCTGTGAAAAACAACAGCTTGTGTCTTTTATAGTGTATGTAAACATCAGGCTTCAACTGTATCTCTTTCTTTGTTACTAATCTTTTTACCAGAATCAGGTGGTGGTGGCGGAGGAGGAGGCGGCGGCAGTGGTGGAGGTTTTGGAGGCGGAGCACCAATGGGAATGGGGGGCCTATTCCAAGGAGGTGTGCCTAAACTACGCTCAGTCGGAGGTGAAGGTTTTTTATTTTATTTTATTGTTTGATGCAGTGAATGTGGATCATGACCTCAGGGTTCACATTTTCAACAGCAGCTTGTGCCTTCGTGTATTTCTCAGGCTGAGTAACGTGACGGCATGTTGGAGGAGAGCTGAATAATTAAACACAAAATGTTTGGACATATACAAAGTGATTCCTACTGATTTTACATGCTGAAACACCGCCAGTCGTCCTGCACTCTGCGCTACATGCAGGACATGGTGCTTGGTAGCAAGCGGCGCTCTGCTCCGTGCACTGCACCACAGCCCTGCCTCTGTGCACCACATACACACTAATGGGTTTGGAATGTCAAAGGTTTGGAAGCTTTATAATCTGGCTTCTCAGCTACTGTGTTTAGCCCAGTGGTTTCTATTTACATGTCAAGTCAACACCGTCTCACATGACTGACAGCTCAGTGCTGTCGCTGTGGAGGAAAGAAAGAGAAATGGATTCAGAGATTTATCATTCACATCTCGTGGTGGAATGAGATTATGTACGCAGAGTCCCAGTTACATCCAACAATAAAATGTAAAAGAAAAACAGTAATAACATCTAAGATATGAACTAAGAAAAACATCAACTAAATTTACACTAAGCACTCATAACATAAAAACATTACAATGAACAGCAGCACGAGCATGAGTCTGTGTGAGCAGATGAGCACGCATGAACACAGCAACATAAAACAGATCAGCAGCAACATGAGACAGATCAGCAGCAGCATGAAACAGATCAGCAGCAACATGAGACAGATCAGCAGCAGCAAGAAACAGATCAGCGGCAACATGAGACAGATCAGCAGCAACATGAGACAGATCAGCAGCAACATGATGTGATTTTTCCCAGTGATTATTCTGGTTAGAGATTCATTCAACAGCCTCAGGGTAGAAGCTGTTCCTCAGTCTAGTGGTTCTACACTTAATGCTCCTCAACCTCCTTCCTGAGGGGAGTGGGACAAAAAGTGTGTGTGCTGGGTGAGTGGGGTCCTTCATGATGCAGGTGGCCCTCTTCCTGCATCTGGAGGTGTAGATGTCTGTGATGGTGGGGAGGCTGATTCCAACATCTTCTGTGCAGCCTTCACCACTCTCTGCAAAGCTTTTCTTTCTGCAGCTGTGCAGCCTCCATGCTACACGTTGATGCTCGAGCACAGGATGCTCTCCACTGCACACCTGTAGAAGGAGGTGAGGACTGAGCTTCCCAGACCAGCTCGCCTCAGCCGTCTGAGGAAGTAGAGTCTCTGATGAGCTTTCTTGATCAGGCTGGTGGTGGTGTTGCTCCAGCTGAGTTTGTCATTCATGTGTACACCCAAGTACTTGTAGCTGGAGACCACTTCCACCACAGATCCTCTTATGTTCAGGGGGGTGTAGGTGTTTTTTTTCCTCCTGAAGTCCACAATCATCTCCTTTGTCTTCTTCACATTGATGTGAAGGTTATTCTCTTTGCACCAGCTATCCAGGTGTTCCACCTCCTGCCTGTATCTGGGCTCATCGTTGTTTGTGATGCATCCCACCACCGCTGTATCATCTGCAAACTTTACAATGTGACAGCCTGGATGGGTAGCTGCACAATCATATGTGAGCAGAGTAAATAGGAGGGGGCTCAACACACATCCTTGAGGAGAGCCAGTGCTGAGGGTTATGGTGGAGGAGGAGAGGTTGTGGATCCTCACTGACTGTGGTCTGTTTAAGAAGTCTAGGACCCAGTTGCAAATGGAGGGGCTTAGTCCTAGTGTGAATAGTTTGTCCATCAGGGTTTGGAGGATCATGGTGTTGAAGGCGGATGTGAAGTCCACAGAGAGCATACGGACATGAGTCTTTCTGCTCCAGGTGGTTGAGAGCAGTGTGGACATGGTCAGATGTTGACTGAATTATTTGCTAATATCAGCTCAGATTAATTGATCAGTGAGGCGACTGTGACCGAGTAGGTAGAGCAGTCGTCCTCCAATGCAAGAGTTGGGGGTTCAATTACACCAGCAGTCACATGCTGAAGTGTCCTTGGGCAAGACACTGAACTCCTCATTGCCTCTGATGTTTGTCCCATCAGTGTATGAATGTGATAAAGCTCTGATTAGTCTTTGTAGAGATCTAGTGGAGTGCTGTATGAATGGGTAGATGAGGCACAGATTGTAGTGTAAAGATCTTTGAGTGTCTTGATAAGATAGAAAGGTGTTATATAAGTGCAGACCATTTATCATGTGACTGATACAGCACCTGAGATTAAAAAAGTTTGTAAGCTCAATTATCCAGGTAGATAATAACAAAAAAGGCTAACTCGTGTCTTCTGGACCAGTTTCTTTAAGTGAGATACGTTTCTTCCTCCATCCGGAGGACTTCCTCAGTCTACAGCTTGCCAACCAGATCTGTCCCATATGTAGCCCTCACTGCTGTTTCAAGCACCTGAGATTGTTTTAAAGTGAGTAAGTGAACCCAGGGTGAATAATCAAAGGCTGGTCAGAGAGTTTGGAGATGTTTCAGTGTTCTGGACCGAGCTCATTTCTCTTTCTGTAATAAAATCATTAATGCTTAAAAGTCTAGCAGTGATTTTAGAACAGTGTGTGGTACCTTGAGGACCATATCATCTCCAGACATCATGTACATTTCGTCAATCAGTTCTGCTAATGTCTGAGGAATAAGGGTACAGGTTCTGGACTGGCTTGCAGCTCTGACCTGATCCTAAACGACAACACATGATTAATTACAAGGGGAAAATGCAGCAATGGTGACCCTGCACAGTTGCACATTTCACAGCCACAAATACACAAATACAATGCATTTTAATTATGTTAGCTTGTTTATGATTGCTGCTTCTATTGTTTCCTTTGTCCTTTCAAAATAAAGCGTACAGATAAGAATGAAAGGAACAGGCAAAAATGATCCCAATTTATTTTTATTTTTTACCTTTTAAGGCATTTTTACTTATTGTTTCATGGTCTGCGCTCCAGTGCCGTCTACCAGTAAAAAGTGCATTTTTCACTCTGGTTGTTGGTAGCTGTTAGTGATGTAGTTTTCACCACCCGTCTGTCTTCCAGATGGTTTGGCTGGTGGTTCTGTGGGGAGATCTGCCCTGAGACCCCCCATGTCTCGGCCTGCAGCACCTCGCCCCCCAACAGGCCGCTCCTCCTCACCGTCTCCAGCCAACAAACCCTCCCCACCGGAGCAGCAGCGCTCCCACCGCCCCTCGCTGCCAGACATCTCATGCCCCCCGAACAGCTCCTCTTCAAGCAGTGGGATGAAGCACAGCACCTCTGCACCTCCTCCTCCTCCACCCTTCAACAAAAACGGCCGTGGTAATGCTCCACCCACACCAACCCAAAAAGCCCCCCCTTCCACATCGTCCTCCCACAGCAGAGAGAAACCACCGACGCCCAGCAGAGGCCCCGCCCCATCTAGCACTGCAAAGCCAGCTCATTCTTCCAGCAGACCACCAACCAGTGGCTCATCTGCACCACCCCCTCCACCGCCATACAGACCGCATCCAACGGGAGGTGTCTCCAATGGGTCCTCTCATATAGATGGGCCTGGGGCTCCTCAGCTTCCACAGAGGAACAACTCACTGCGCAAAAAACACTCCTCGAGTAGCAGCCAAGGTCGCAGCCATGCCCCACCGCCTCCTCCTTCACAGCCTCATTCCTCTCAGCAGGTCAGCAGACCACCCCCACCCGTCAGAGACCCACCTGGACGTAAGACAGGTAACTGTTTCATCAACACACACTGCTGTCACCCGTTGGAAAGCTTAGAAGTTACACTTGATTGGTGCTTTCAAAGATGCACGTTTAAAGCAAAGATAAACGAGGAAAAAAACAAACATTTAAAGATTAAATAAAATATAAAAATATTGAGTTTTTATGTTTTTCTTTTAAACATTTGCATGAAATATTCCAGTGACCCATTTCTGTAAAAATCACAAATGTCGGTAGGAGTTTTGGTCCTTGGTTGATGATGTCACTGGCACATGGCTATCTGTAAGACACCCGGCTAACTTTGTTTTGTTTATATGTTTGTTGTGCTGTACACTTCATTATAAAGTTTGAGAGGAAAACAAACAAAGGCCGCTGTAGAACACAGAGCGAGCGTTCAGTTGCATTGGCTCTCAGTGAAAATACCTTTGAAGGCGGCGCACATTTTCAAGAACACTAGAATTTGGAGAAATGCCAAAACACGTCAGGTTTAATGGATATTCAACCATACTGGTACAAATCTCAACGGTCAGCTGAATCTCTCGAACCAAATGAGAACTCTGACATGTGCAGATTCTGATAATCATAAAGATTTCCATGACCGAGGCCAACAACTGGTTATCAGCGTGAAATGGTGAACTGTTTTCCCCAGATCCGTGCAATTTGGATGTAGAACTGCCTTTTTATTATGGAGGTATAAAGAACAATGCTTAGTGTAGATCAGGTAGCAGCAGATTGTTGCTACTAACATAATAATGTTCACACACAAGCGAACAGTATTATTGTATATATTAATGCTGACTCATTTAATTTACTATCTTTTTCCACTTGTTTCTCTCTGGTTTGCTGGTTTTCCTGCCTTTTTTATGTCCGTAGTGAAAATTCCACTGAACATATGAGAAGTTTGGGCAAATCTATCCATTGTTGAAAATAGATGAATACAGTGAGGAAAATAATGAACAGCCTGCGACTTTGCACGTTCTCCCACTTAGAAATCATGGAGGGGTCTGGAATTTTAATCTTAGGTGCATGTCCACTGTGAGAGACATAATCTAAAAAAAAAATCTGTTAAAATTATTTAATAATTTATTTGTGTGTTACTGCAGAAAATAAGTATTTGAACACCTGTGAAAGTCAATGTTAATATTTGGTACAGTAGTCTTTGTTTGCAGTTACAGAGGTCAAAGGTTTCCTGTAGTTTGTCACCAGGTTCACTGCAGCAGAGATTTTGGTCCATTCCTCCACAGATCTTCTCTAGATCAGCAGGTTTCTGGGCTGTCACTGAGAAACACGGAGTTTGAGCTCCCTCCAAAGATTTTCTACAGGGTTCAGGTCTGGAGACTGGCTAGGCCACTTCTGAACCATGATCTGCTTCTTACGGAGCCACTCCTTGGTTCTCCTGGCTGTGAGCTTCAGGTCATTGTGATGTTGGAAGACCCAGCCACGATCCATCTTCAATGCTCTAACTGAGGGAAGGAGGTTGTTCCTCAACATCTCTCACTACATGGCCCCGATCATCCTCTCCTTAATACAGTGCTGTCGTCCTGTCCCATGTGCAGAAAAACACCACCAAGCATGGTGCTTCCACCCCCATGCTTCACAGTAGGGATGGTGTTCTTGGGATGGTGCTCATCATTCTTCGTCCTCCAAACACGGCGAGTTGAATTAAGACCAAAAAGTTCTATTTTGGTCTCATCTGACCACAGAACTTTCTCCCATGACTCCTCTGGATCATCCAAATGGTCATGGTCAAACTTAAGACGGGCCTGGACGTGTGCTGATTTAATTAGGGGAACCTTCCGTGCCGTGCATGATTTTAAACTATGACGTCTTAGTGTATTACCCACAGTAACC